AGTGGGTGCCAATTACTTGTATTTAAATGATAATGAGAGATAACCTTTGTACATGTATCATGTTGGTCTGAGACAGTGACAATAGGGTCTTAAATAGAATACTGCTGCCCATGGAGGCTGGTTATCACATTATTAAAGTTGTTCAAATGCTGCAATGTTCATTCATTTAAATTATTGCAGTAAAGGTTTAACATATGCTAGATGCAAATTGTGGTATTTTACAGGATTCACCTAAAGCACCTATGTGCTTTAGAGCAGTTTTTTTTAGAGCAGTTTTTTTAGAGCAGTTTTTTAGTGATTTTAAGAGGTAATATATGCCAAATCATGCCCCATGCTTTTTGCTGATCCCATACACTGTTGCTGCATCTTTTATACATACAATTCTTGGGTTACCCAGCTGCATACAATATCCTCCAGAGCGTTCTGTGCTGTAGAAATGTGCAGGGCTCAGTGGAATTTCTATTAACTTGCAGGAGGACAAATCTTTTGTTCAGAAATGACTTCTGCTGCAAGAATATTGACCACCGCCACAATGTTTGTGACGCTCACAGATAGTCTGTTATGAACCTGTAATTTATTTCTCCAAGCACGCATAGGACACATTGATTCCTCAGTATCTGTAATGTGTAGTCATTACAGCACGCGGCAGGAGATCATTCATGGCAATCAATGGCCACAAATTTGCCCCATTGAGAAGTTACAGCTCGGTAGGTAGCCAGGATGATGATTGAGGTCTATGCCTGCTGGTGCCTGTGGTGTGAATGTTTCTTGCAAATCCTCTGCTCCAGTTTTGAACAGTCAGCTGCTGTCAAGTGGCTACAAATGCAGTCCTGCATGATATATTATATTCCACGCACACACACAGTAAAAATAACTAACTTGTTCAGTAGCTTTTCTCTGTTTCTTTCCATCTAGCTGGAGGCGTTTTACTCCATCTTTACAACAGAGCAACAAGACCACGTCAAGTCTGTCGAGTACCTGAGGAACAACTTCCGACCCCTGCAGGACCTGGACAATAGGAAAGTCTTTAAGTCGGCTGTAAAAGATGCATGGCAGAAAGACTTAACGGAAGTCTTGGGAAGCCCTCACAGCACTGAGGCTTCAAGAGGTAAGCTCTGTTTCCTGCTTTGTACCCCATTCTCCCTGCCGTTTGCACCACGGTTTAACCCAAGGGTCTCTTGTAATTACAATCATGACTTGCTGTTTTATTAGTTCTTGTAGTTTTAGGGAGGCTGAAAAAAGACATCACCCTCCAAACTCTTTAAATGGCATTCGATAGTATCGTAAGAGTGATAATTCCATATAATAATTTATCGTCTTCTAGATGGATCGATGTATGTAATGGCCTTTATCGTGATAGAAGGTTTTGGCCATATCACCCAGCCCAAGATCTCCATTATGTGTAAATTTAAGATTTCACTACATATTATTTCCCATACTATTCCACAAAGACAACTCTATTTACCAGCACTATTTTCTCCCTGGTCAAAAAGTTATTTTTCACCAAGTTAGTTCAAATTTCACAAGAATTTTAGATAAAGATTGTCCTGTCAGGATCATGCCCATAACTCTCTCGTTGTTGCAACTCATTTTTATATTAAAGAACATATTAATACAAAGCACAGACCTCATGCAGGGATTGATTGGAGTATTTTTTGTTATGTGGGCATCTTGTAGCGCTTGCGTTAACAGAACAGTACAGGAACTATGGAGACTAATGAGAAAAGCTGCTGCGCTTTAAAGTGGTCTTGTTGGTGTCTGGCGGGGAGAATTGATTGGGAATGCTTGTGATGAAGTTGGAGCACTCTCACAAGGCCGATCAGCAATCATCATTAATATGTGGCACAGCTAAAATAGACCCATACAAATTAAGTTGTGAAATTGCTTTTGTGGCATTATGTCAGTAGGCAGAATGAATGTGGACCAATGTCTCTCCATTTTTTTCTCGCTTGCTTGTTTTCTCTTTGTGTCTCTCTCGCATTTCTATTTCATTGTGCTAAAATGTAAGAATTCATACTTAACAGAAGGGCGCTGGGAGTAAACGGTATCTTATCTTCAGGGGTGACATCTGTCATCTGTATGGGGGGGGGTATTCATCTGCGCACAAAAAATCATGGTTTTGCTTGCTTGTAAATGTTGTGAGAGCCAGGGCCATACATTGACTGAATGCCATCCCTGTGGCTTTTACAGCCATGAAGGTTGTTTGGCCATTCGAGATGTATAGCTTCTGATGCAACAAACATGTTGCAAATTAGTTTGTCAAGTAATAATGGCAAGATAAATACAGCGATTTGCTTTATTGTGTTACCGGTAATGCTGTATATGTGCATGTGTAACACCAAGCTCTATCAACCTGTGCATGCAAGCCTTTGGCGTACCTCTGTTTTTTTTTAGTTTTGGTTAATGATGATATGGTCCATAGGGCTGCAAATAACTTTCATTTTCATTATTAATTACACTTCTCTTGTTTAGCTGATGCATATTTTGGGCTTTAATATGTCAGTCAATAGGGAAAAATCAGTCAACGCACAATTACATAAAACAGATAAAAGCAGCAAATCCTCAAATTGCTACTGGAACCAAAGAATGTTTGACATGGAAGCAATGAATCAAGTTTATTATTTCTCAGTCTACTAAGGACATTATTAACATGTCCTATGTGGTAATGCTGTTAGTCAGTGTTAAGACTGACGTTAGCTGTAGCAACAGTCATATGTTATAATGAAATAAGTACTGTAGTTGCGGTGTTGGTATTTAGCCCTCAGATGACATGCCTACCTTGACTGCAAAGTTCAGAAAATACCAATTCTTATGTCAAAATCAGCATTCTTTGTGTTTTCAATGACATTGTTGTTTTCCCTTTTCTTCCAATGACTATACAAAGCCTCCTTAAAACAAATGGTATAGCCTTGAGAGGAGAGAAGCAGTGGAACTGCTGTTTGTTTACAGCTGTCAATTCATCCCGTTTATGGTTGAATCTGCCAGGAGAGAAATGCGTGCTCTGCTCTTGAGTGGTGTAGCAGACTGAGGTGAATCCACTCTGAGGCTGATTTTGGGACGTTACAATACATCTATTCACAGAAAAGTGTTAGGATTTTTACTAGAGGCTCTAGCATGATGAATAATTGTGCCAGTGATTTTTTTTTTGTTGAACTTGAGATAAAGTGACAAAAAACCATTTGCATACAAATTTTGAAAACGATTTAGATGAGTACTTGTTAATTCCGCTGGCGATATGCCGTTGTATTAAAAGGTTTTCATGAAATGAACAACTATCTCAGATCAATGAAGTTTATAATTAATACAGAGACATCATGATTTCTCATCAGTAAACCACAAAGTTGCCCCAATTATAGTGAACAAACTTGAATGATATGAAAATTTCATGTCGCGACAATCATGGCCGAATTAATTTCGATTCACGATGTTATCCCAGCAGTCATCGAAAATATGCTTTACACTCTTAAAATGGTACTTAAACATACTCAAATCACTTTACCTGACATTATTTTCAGAAATCAATTAATTTATTGCATCACAGATAGGACGTGAATTAACTATCATTTTTAGTGATAAACAAACAATTAAATAAATCGTAGGGCCCCCTCCATCAATGAAGGATAAATACGTTTTTTTTTTCATAATAGTTCATAATCCCGATTCACAACAATTAATTATTGTGTGTTATTTCATTGCCATCTGCAAAAAGAAAATCCTATATAGCCCTTTCAACAAACTTATAATTTTTAACAAAAATTATAATCGCAACTGTGTTGTCTTTCAAGTTGCTAAATAGGAGTGTAGAGCTACAGCTGCTGTTGCTTTCAGTGTGTCTAGGATGATGGCTGACGTGACGGTAATGATGCAGGCAGTAAAACCATCACGATGTCTTCAGCAGTTATTAAACAGGCTGCTTTAAAGCTACTGCAATTGACAGCAAAGATCTGACGGGTTATAAAGCATTTCACACCTGTCACACCTAATCAACACCCCGAGATATTCTTGCTATTGTGTAGTTTTTTTCGCCCCTGTGTTCCTGTGTCTGATTTCCTCCCACCCTGTCTTCCTTTCACATATCATGGTGCATAATTTGCACCATAGCGTCACTTTGTTAATGGAGAACTGTGGTGACAATTAAAATTTTGATAGAAACCCTTTGTGCACTTAATCAGCTGACACTTGTTCTTGATTGTTGTTGCCCTGATGTGCTGAGAAGCATGTCCAGATTGTCCTTCACTCATACTGACTGATCCCAGTGTAAATATCCGCGCTGCAGCCTACACTGCCACCTTGAGGCTGACTTACGGGCTTTCATCCTCCTCATTTCAGTCTCCTGTTTAATGTTGCACAGACAGCAACCTGCAAAATTACGTCTAGGCAGGAAATTGCGGTATTATCTTTACCACATGTTTAGCACTACACCCAGCTGTTTGGTATTCTACCTGGAATATCTTGCAGTGATGTGGCATGAAAACGACGTCCAGAGTGACAATCTGCATTGTCACCAAGTCAAGCCTCCAGGAGTGTTGCTTGTTATTGAGTTACTGTATTATCTTGCACCTTGAGGTTTCCTCAAGTAGAAATGGCTTTGAGTCCAGTCAGCAGCAGACAGTAATGATAGGCTTGTTAAAAGGCAACGTGCCTTCTGCCAACAAACATAAACACATGTGGTCAAGCAGTCCTCCCTACACAGCCTTTCATTTTCACTCAGTTGCAATCACACAGTGAAAAAGTGACATTATTATTTATTTTTCTTTTCATGCTGTTTTTTTTTTTTAAATCTTACTCCCCTTTACTCTCTGGTCTTTCAGTGTGTAGCAGTGCGCCAGTGAGCATGAAGATCAAGCCGCTGAACCAGACAGCACTGATGGTGAGCTGGGAGCGCCCTCTGGCCGTTTACCACCCACCCATCACCAGCTACATGGTCTCCTACGGCTGGGTGAAACGGGATGTTGCTGACGAAAAGACCTTCACCAAGACTGGGGACCAGAGCATGGTGTGTATGATTGTATTATCAGCTGCCACTAACAACTGCCCCTACCATACCAAAGCCGTTTCTCAGACTTGTTGTCATGGATATAGTTTAAACAGCTCTGATTGGTTTGCAGAGCCTCTGATGTATCCGGCCGGATCAGAGGGTGGCTGGATCAGTGACAGTGTGTATAGGAGGTGACAGGTTGTGATGAACTCTGCGCTCGGCTGTTGCTTGATATGAAGGGACCAGACAATCCCCTGTCACTCACCTGTCTGAAAATAGACACGCAGGACTGTCATATATGTAATGTGTTGGCAAATGTGCCTGTGGCCTCCTCGTTTCACTTTATGCATTTTCCATTTATTCATTTATTGTCAGTATAGGCTCAGAGATAATGTAGAGCAAAATATATCAGACACAGCAATACAAACCAAATATTGTAGGGATATATATGGGGTGCATAAACTATTGGCAGATAATGGTAAATTGATATCATTATCTGATCAATACACTACAAAACAATCTAGTTTACAGGAGCAAATAGTTGATGAAACAGAGCTATTCTTTGTTTTTGTTGCATTAGCAATAGTGATGCCAGTTAGATTTGATTAGGTCAGAACTATGGAACATCAAATCATCCATCTTTGCTCACTACATCTTAGCATTTCTTACCCTCACGTGTGCATTAACTAAAGGTTATGATTTCTTTTTCTAAAACACAAATGGGAAATTGTCGTTTGTGCTGTCGGTATTGGCGATGAGAAGTAGGTAATTATTGGTAATGACTGGGGAAAAAAATCCATATTGTGCAACCCCAAAGTATTTTTTTTATTATCATTTTTTAACATTTTGAACATTTTAATAAATCCATTCTGTTTTCAAGCATTGGAAGCAGCTTTCTGAAGACATCTTTTAGCCACCAACGCAGGCAACTGTGCTCGTGTAGTCCTTTAGATCTCAGTGAAGTTTTTGACACCAGTGATCACACAATTCTGCTTGTGTGCCTTAAACATTGAGCTACCACATCATTCCTTCCTGTATCCCTCCAAGACAACATTCACTGTCTCCACAGAAATATATCCTCCCCCCTGCTGGAGGTTACACCTACAGGGCTGTTCTTTTTCCACACTACATATTTTTCTCCTCGGTCACATATCCTTCCATTTGAGGGAATCCAACACCCAGCTGTGCATCTCTTTTAAAGCCCACTGACCCCCAGCTGTCTTGACAGTCTGCATGACTAACTCTTTAGACATAAACAGTGCAGGGGCAACACACTCACCCACTGGTTCATAGACTTGGGATCAGCTCCCTTGTGGCAGTATGCGTTTCAGTAAACACAGTTGTCATTGTCATTTGTGGGAAGCCGGTGAGGGATCATGCAACGTTGCTGCACTAGTGACTACTACTGGTTTATTGGAGCAACTGCACAAAGGAGGTGGGACGTGAAGGGATAGATGTAAACCTTTGCACGTATTTCCTCCTCCCTTCCTTCTAATGTTTAGAAACTAGCTAATGCATTAGCTAATAACCCCTTCCACCCATTAATGTGTTTGGCTTACTTTACTTGGATGTTTAACCTTCACTGCGTAGGATGGTGTGTTACAGTTTGACAGTAAAAAGCCGTTTTCAAGATGCAATTTGTGGTCCAAAATGCAACTTGCATACAGATACACTGAGGATGGGCCTATCAGTGGATTAGGAGACGCCTTGTGTTTAGTGGTTAAACGTTTGAATTTAACAATATTTGCAAATTCATCGTAGCATCTGGAGGAGTAGATGTAATTTCGTGGAAATACTATATCACACACGCACTATTAGTCCATGCAGTTTATATGTATCTCTTTAAGAAACTATAGACAAGCAGGTTGAAATTAATAGGGAATCAGGCTTCCTGCAGTCAAGAACACCCCCACAGAATTGAACTAACGCTGTCCTCAGCTAGAGATAAATTAACATGCATTTCATTCATTTAACTCCTGCGCCCCTCAGGGTAACTTGGGCGTCAAATATGAAGCGGTAATTTCTTAAAACCTACATGTGAACACATAAGTTGACTGGAGAGAATTTGTTGGCTACTTGATGACTTTAACAATTTTCGGAATGACTGTCTCTCATAGAATGGACTGATGAGAATTATTTCTTTGTTGTTTTTATATAATATCTTTATATTCTGTTAGGAGCTTTATGTTGCTGTACATTTATTGCAGATGGCTGACTAAAAGAATGATTAATGTGTCCATGAGGTGCTCAATCTGGTTACACACCATGAATGCACTCAGTCAGTCGCAGTGACAGTATCCTCTCTGCTGTCAGTCTTTCTTATTTTGCCCACTTCATTTCCATTTCAATTTTCAGTTTCTATCTCTGGACACCTTTTTATCTGAATTGTTTTCAAGAAATACTAGAGCTCTCCAACACAAGAGGCAACAACCCATCCGTGCTGAGGGCCATTTTAGCATAAGTAAAGCCATCTGCAAAGTGCACCACACAATTACTTTTGGCAGGAAATTATGTTTTAAACTGCATCGAACTCGTTGGTCATACACTGTTGACAGAACAGTGGCTTGGGATTGTATGTTTTCAATGTGGCCAGTATAAATTAACAGCATCCGCAGTTTGACATTTTTCATTTACCCATTTAAACGTTATTTACAACATGTTTGCAAGTGGTCTTAAGTGTATACGTATGTGCATCTTTTATTTTGCAGAAAGCCGTCATCACTAATGTGTCCCCTGACGTCCTGTACCTCTTCAGAGTGCAGGCAGTGTGTCATCATGACCTGCGCAGTGATTTCAGTCAAACTCTGCTCTTCAGAGGTACCTGGTCAAAACCCTCCAGCCATCGAGTCATTATTTATTCTTGAAGAAGAACTCATTTTGATGCAGGAAATGTATTTTTAAGTGCTTGCTTTTGTTTTCCAGCTAATACAACAAGAATATTTGAAGGGTCTCGTATTGTGAAGACTGGGATGGTGAGTTGACCAGAAGGTGGCAGTGAAAATGTGTTTTTGTATGTTAGTAACAATCTGCATGCCAGGAGGCATAAAAGGCAATGATGAACATTCGTGTGGTTCTGTTGGATAACCACTTTTTCTCTGCCTGTATCTGTCAGCCCACAATTTCTCCAGCGTCCTCGGCAGACATGGCTCCCATCAGCTCTGGTTCCTCCACTTGGACGTCCTCTGGCATCCACTTCTCCATTGTCTCTATGGCAACGGGGATGGGCCCCTCCTCTAGCGGCAGCCAGGCCACAGTGGCATCAGTGGTGACGAGCACCTTGCTGGCAGGCTTGGGAGTGGGCGGAGGGGTCATCTCTTCTTTGCCCAGCTCAGTTTGGCCCACAAAAGCGCCCCGAGCCACGCAGAATCCCACCCGTCCATCCATCCCGCCTGCAAAGTCCAGCACCGAGCAGGCAGCTCCCCAGGGCTCCGAGACAGACACTCCGTCTGAGGAGAAGCAGGCTGCACATGAGGACGAGGAGGAGGAGAAGGAGGGGGAGAGAGAAGGAGAGCAGGAGGAGGGAGAGGATGAGAAGAAGAGAAAGAACAAGACTGCACCTGATAATGAGGAAAAGCAAGCCAACAGCACTGTGGTCAAAGAGCCTTTAATCCCCACCCCCGCGTCCACAGCCAAAGAGAAAGGAGAAGGGAAGCCTACAGTCAAAGGCACCACGGTACCCTCAAGCACTGGTGGCGATCAGTTGGTCAACGTAGAGAAGAATCCCACAGATGTAAATGCATTCTCCACTGCGGAGCCTCGTAATGACACTGCCGAGATGCAGATTCCCCACAGCTCCACACTGTCTCCAAAGATCAGTAGTGATGGCAAGAGTCTCTGGCCTTTCTCCGTCCACACCGGTGAGCAGACCTCACAGATATGACACAATATGACTTGCTGTACCTTCCCAATCAGACACATCCTCCTTTTGAATTTGCTGCAAGGCTCTTCTCCTTGTTATCAGCTATCATACGAGGAAAGGCCTCTCCCCAAAGCAGAAATCTGTAATCACTACCAAAGGTTATGGAGCCCGATGTAGCATAACAAATACATTGATTTAAGACAGCGACTGCACTGGTTACCATTTTAGTCAAAGATAAAGCTCCAGGCTTTTGTGTCACTACAACAAAGAGGCCTGAAGGCAGGAATAAACCATCTGCCATCGGGGATTCTGCCTCCAGGAATCCCTTTCAGCATATTTTGAAAGAGTTTGCTTCGAGAGAGAGAGCATTCTCAAGATTTTTTTGCCAGATGTTGTACCCTCACAATGTTAGATGTCAGTGATAATGTTAGTGGGATTTAACATGATAGACCTATGGGTTTATTATTCATCATAGGTTTATTATGTATTAATATTAAGCTCAGACCAGGCTCAGGTTGACATTCGATATATATAATGAAGTATGGTGAAGATTAAAGCCCCTATGAGTAGAATTAAAACATGTCTGACTACTCCCAGTGGTAGCTTCAAAAAAGACACTTTGGCAGACTCCGTTCATGGATCTGACCTGGAGATACAGAATAAAGGACTAAAAACAACACAGAATCTTACCTAATTTCAAACATGCTATAATTTAATAGAGATCCTGCACATAGGCACTTTAAAGTTGGCAAATGAGCTGCTGTAATTCAGTCAAATATTTATTTTTAGACATGTATTTATGTGCCTGTATTACATTCCAGACGGGACCATCTTGTCCAACGTGACCCGAACCCCTCACCCGGGTATGGGCAGGATGGTGTGGATCGTCCCCTTGGTTGTGGTGTCTGCTCTCACTCTGCTGTGCCTCATAATGCTGCTGATAGTGATGGTCTACTGGAGGTGAGTTCAGTGTATCTCATTCCAGATGGGACGTTGTAGGTGTTAAAGTTTGGTAGAACCGTGAAATCAATCAAGTTTTATTTCTATAGCACCTTTCAAACAAATCAACTCAAAGTGCTTCACAAATGATTGACGAGACGAAAATGGAGAGAAGATGAAGAGACGAATGAGCAATAATAATAAAAACCATAAAAGTTTTAGTTTCTACTCTTAATTCTCCTGAAAGCTCTTTCAACAGTTTGGAGCATAGTGGGACAACAGATGAAAAATAGCCTCTTGGCTAACTCATTTACAGCAGTGTTTTTATTAATGTGCTCTGTCCCTTATCAAATAAACCAATAAATAAAGTGACTAAAAGCAGCATCATCAAATATATTTTTATGCTTTGTGGAACAGCTTAAAGATAGAAACCAGAGGATCTGAGAGGCCTTACAGGTTCGTAAACTGAAAGCATTTCTGGTGCAAGCCCATGTAGTGAAAAAGAAGCAATACAAATACTAATAGGTAACCAGTGTAAAGATGTTTAAATAGGCGTCACATGTGCTCTGTCATTACATGAAGTGCTCATACATACAAAAATGTCTCATCTTGCTAAGGGTGTCACTGATACCTCCCTCAGTGGTATTAAAAACTAGCTGCCCTATAACCCACACTGACCCCTCCCATGAATCTCACATGTCAGGTTAAGTGACAAGCCTGCATGCGTGTCTGGATCTTCCAGTCAGTCTGCTCCACTTTAAGACCCGTCTAGTTTGGATGTGTCTGTTCTATGCACATGCATGCATGAGTGCGCATCAATCTCAAACAGTCTGGTAGCGAGACTGCTTTCATGCCTTGGTGTCGTACATCAGGCCCATCACCCACCTGGGTGAGAGGGATCAGGAGACCTGAAGGGCCCGGCAGAGCCAGCAGGGGTCCCAGCTGTGTCTTCATCTGCTGGGCTAATTTCCAGCATTGCTATTGGAGCCCCAGTAATTACATCTACCAGGCCATTGGCACATGTGGGATGGTTGATGAGTTACAAATGGCACTATGGGCCATATCCTCAGCTGGTCTCATGCATATTTACTGCCTACATAGGGTCTGTTTCTAGTTGGGGGGCATTTTCTTTATTTACAGCCTGAGATTTATTTATGAAATATGCATCTAACACATTTCACGAATTATTTCTACCATGACAGTTTTCTAAGTGTGAGATCACTGCAGCAAATGATATGGGCCAACAAAACCTTACTGTCGCATTTTGTGGTGTCAGATAATATAGGAGCGTGGTATAAATAACAGCCTGGTTATCAGCTCCATAGAGGTGTTCAAAAACAGACCGTGGAAAACAGGACGACTGTAGCCGACTCAGTCAGTGGATATGGATTACTGAGAGTCGTGGTATTTGAGTAGAAGAGCAGGGGCAGCTTTGAGATTAGAAATGCCCATCACAGCTGTTATTGTGACAACTCTTGACAGTTCACAGACAATGCCTGCTTCCTCTGGGGAAAAGACCATGGTGACAGATGAAATCAACACATTCACACTCTTCACTCTCCTCTGTGTAGTCTCTCTTGGGGACCGTGCAGCTATTAAAGCCAGATGTTTTGGTCACTAACAACTTAATACCACAATCCATTGTGTCTAAATTTCTTTGTTCAAAATGTGATCCGTTGACCATCTTTTGAAGATGAATGTCTTATTTTTAGCTTGTTCCTTTTCACAGTTAGTCTTAGGTTATGTCTACAATGGAATTAATTGCTGGCCTTACAGTGCACATCTGGAAGCCTCAGAGGCTTGAGGTGTTTGTTGAAAACCTCCAGATGTTCATCTGAGAAAAACAAATCCCATTTTGTGTTAGTGACTCAGTGCTGCTGACACCGGTGTTGAATGGGATGCATCTCTCCACAGACATCTATTCAGAAAGCCTATTTCATCCCAGTCGCATTCCCCCAAAGCAAATTGTTCCTTTGAGATCATGGAAGAGAATCGGAGAGGGGGTGTCGACTGTTAGCCGCACCACATCTGCACCCACAGGGGGCCATTGGATTGGGAGGCTGTGACGCAAGCCGGATGGGGGGCTCTCCTCCCTTTCTGTTTTTCACCCTCCCCTCTCAGTCTTTCTCTCTTTCTCTCTCTCTTTCTATATCTTTTAAATACAGTGCAGCCATTTTTATATTTTTCTCTCTATGCATTGCTTTATACCTCTTGAAGAATGACAAGCATCTGCTCCCTCCTCTGCATCAAGTACAGGTAGGATTAAACCTTGGAAAGAGTCGTGTACAATGTATGTACAATGTATTCATTGTGTGTGAATAAAGGGGGGGGGGCTGTGCAAGTTCAGGACCTTAAAAATGCATCACTTACAGACGGTCGGTTTTTCAGGAGCTTTCTTATTTATTTCTACTATTTAGACAACATCTCACTAATTATTAAAGAATTGTTTTTTGTTGTGCTTAATTGAGGAAGGACATCTTTAATGTGGAATGTTTTAGCCTATAAAGCTGTAATATCCACAGTCAGTTAAGTTAGATATTCACTAAAAAGCATGGCTGACTTCAGCCTATCTGCATTCAGCATTGATATGACACGTTTTACACTTTTTCAGTCTGTGAACTGTGTAAAATTGGAAAGGGAATATGCAAGAAGCGGCACAGACATTTTGTCTTTCGAAACAAGAGGAATTACCCCTATGGATAAGTAACGGATGTCAAAAGTTTCACCTGGTCACATTGGTGCATTGAGCAGCATCTGCTGGCAGCAATCACGCACATTTTCTCCAGAAAATTGACTTGGAGTTGATTTTGCTGTCCTCGAATGCAGTGGGATTTCTTGAAAGAGGTGTATGTTGACCTGAAGAGAGAGTCTGTGTTTGGAAAAGTTGTCTTCAGTTTGAGTAAAGAGTTAAAATTTGCCGCTGCACTGTGTCGCTGTAAGTTGTTTACTTTTTCCCCCGTAGTCGGCTCAGACTGTTTCCAGGAGCTGCTCTGTGTGCGATCAGCTGTGTCCCACTCACTCTGGGGTTTTCATTAGCTGTTTCCTGCCGGTCCCGACCGTGTCATTCTACAGTATTCAACTTGTAGATGATGTTGTTGACAGACCAGGCTCTGAGAACAATGTGATAAGGACTCCCGAATAGACTTTACTGTGGCATATCAGTGTTCCTCTCTCTGTGTCCCTGTAGGAGATTTTTCCAAACAGCTCACTTCTATGTGGAGGAAAGCAGCTCTCCACGGGTGGTGGCCAATGAGAATATACCAATCATCCCTATACCAGGTAAGCCGTATTTCTGTCATTATATTGATCAGTGATTCCCAACCAATGGTACTTGTATTATATAGTACCTGTGTGGTACTTGTGTACTCCAGGGGGTATACTGCAGTTGCTTTGCAGATTATGTAATAGCTGAAGAAATTGGAGCAAATAGAGATTACAACTGGAACACATCAGAATGCATCCTTGTATGAATAGTAAAAAAAGTTGGTTGAAAGTAATGGATAGATGTTTAAACCAGCTAGCTAAAAGGGCTGGAATAAATAAACAGATGAAATAGTAAGCTTAAACTAATGGATGCAAATTTGAGAAAGTCAGTTTACGTAAGTTTCATTTGACAGGACTGTGGGTGTACATGGACAAAAAAAGATTATTATTATTAGTTATTTTTTCAAAAAAAGTTGTAAGACTGAAACTGAGTCCAAAAACTGTAAAAGTAATCTTGATTTACTTTAAGTGATGTATGCTTGTTGGTAAAGGACATATCCACAAACCGCCATGAACCGTTTTCAAATGGTTTTCTCTATTACCATGATGTCTTGCACAGTTTCTGTTCATTTACATGTGAAATGACTCTGAGAGCACCTCTGCAGGAATCGTATAACTGGCTTTAAGTTGCGTTTAATGTCCCAGGCAGCAGTGCAGTGGCAGCTAGTCGATATTAGACTTTACGACTTTCACAGCTCGGGGACATTTCCAGGCTGTGATATCACAGTTAAAGAGCGCAGTTGATGCCAGTATTGACTCCACATTCATTAGGCTTTTATTGCTTGTCTTTTTCATTCTTTATGCCTTTCTTTATTCTTTCCCTTTTCTTTCTGTCTGCTTTCAGACATCGAAACTATGGCAATTTTTCTTACAGCACATATGTTCTGCATGACTGCCCATGTGCTTGATTGAAGTTGAAAATGTGCAAGAACATTAATTTCATAGAAGAGTGGCTTCACGGGCTCAGAATTTGCATCACTTATCTTCATGGATATTTGTAGAAATATAGTTTTAAGGGCAAAATGACAGAATGGCTCCGCTGGTAAAAGCATCTCTACTGCACATAGCACTATGGGACATGCAAGAATACATGCGAACATATCTCTGTACAGTTTAATATCCCGTCAAGAAAAATTGAGCCTAATCAGCCTTACTTCATTTCAATTTGTAGCCCCTAAAGCCACATCTCAACCAGAACCATTCAGAGGGAACTGGTTAGCCTGATAAGTGACTCTTGACACTAATAGAGAGGGCATTTTGATAAATGACCAGATTAACAATCCAGACTTCACCTTTACGCTGTAACCACTGAGGCCAGCAAGGGCCCCAGCTGCAAGGGTGTATTAGTTAAGACATTTGCCAGTATCGGCAGCAATGACAGCTGGGTCTCCTGTTCTATTGTCCCAATGTGATGGTGACCAGCCTTGTCAAAGAACCCTCGTGTGTGATTTGGGGCTGATTTGACTCAGATGAGACAGATGCTCCCGCCTATAAATGCTCAAAATACCAAATCTAAATATTTGTGATAGAGGTCAGTCAGTTAAAACACCACAGACGCCTGGTTGCAATAATAAAAAAAAGATCATCACATCGGTTACCAAGTATTGCAAACACATTCACGTGTGTATACACATTCTCGCAATAGATGGTGGCTAGAAACAAAGCCTAATAATGCACTACGAACCACACACACACACACACACACACACACACACACACACACAGTAATGGGTACTTTGCTAACTGTTCTGTTTGTTCTGCAGACGACATGGACGCCATCCCCGTTAAGCAGTTTATTAAACACATCATGGAGCTCTACAAGAACAACCTGCAAGGTTTTTCTGAGGACTTTGAGGTATACTTTCAACCCCACTCCAATAGTTATTTGTTTTGATGCATTGTTAACCGTTCTTATACAGCTAATGGTGGTTTTACATTGGAGTTCGGTTCCGTTGGTCCGTACAAAGCAAAAGAAATAGACAGTATATTAAGTCTTGCAGCACTTAACTGCACCGTAGGTGTTCATTTATGTTCTCGAGAGTCTCAAAGAGCTCATACAGAAACAATTGACAATGAGCATTGTCGTAAATAATGTATATATGCATCTCACTCAATCTTTAGTGGCTGGGTAGCTTTCTTCACATTTCACAATCAGCAGATGATTTAATCATCTAAAATGAACTATTATGGAGCTGAATCCAGGCCAGTAGTGATGGTTTGAACTAAAAATGAGTGAAGAAAACGTTTTGTTAAATATAACTTTGATTCAGTTCTGGAATTGTTTTGAATAAAATATTTATTTTCATTTTTCATTTTCATATATATTTTGATATTTGAGGTCGTGTATTTTTCAGTTGCATATTTTATATTTTCAGATTCAGATCTTATTTTAACGTGGTTGAGGAAGGTCCTCAGCCTTCTTTGTTATGCTGTCACTCATGATTACACGCCCCTCTCAGTTGATGCCACACGCCCACGCCAGATCAAGGTCAAAAGTCTGAAACTAAAAAAATATACAATCTGAAACTGAAAAAAAGATTTGAAATCGAAAAAATAAGATTTGAAACTGTAATACGAATAAGATATAGCGTGTCACAGAGCTATGGTGGCCTTCAGGTAATGTGAAAACACGAAAGACCCTGTCTGGAGCGAGTGTTTGGTTTGTCTGTTCTGGGCTATACGGTACATAGTCATGGCTAATTTAATCCATATCCGCTACTTGACACCCCTTAATCCTACACACTGGACCTCTAAGGAACCAAACGGGCAAGTGCACATATTAGTTTGAACTGAACCAAACGTGTTCGGTGTGAAAGCGCCATACAATTTTCTGTGGTTTAGTAAGTACTGATTGACCATACAGCGCTGTTCATCTCTCCCTCTAATATGAACACATTGTCTGCAAGTGGGCCTCGTTCTGAACAGTGGTTGGAGATTATTTTATGCATGCGTTTGTGTGCAGGGTTACTACTTTGGAGCAGATGGTTGTGAAAGAGACAGAGAGAAAGATCAAGAGAGACGGAGGTTAATTAGAGAAGGTCTGTCTGCTGGTTGACTGGATGGGAACACATTCTCTGTAACCAGGTTAAGGAGCAAGGCCCCCAGAAGATTCCTTCTAATTGGGGTCATTTGATGTGAAGCCTGTGTGCATGATTTTCAAATGCATCGCAATGAAGCTCTGTTGGAAAATGATTGTTTGATTTTAGGGGTGGATGGGTTCAGTGCAGTGTAGTGAAGAAGAGGAGATGAGGGCTGTCTTGCTGGAGGCCTGAGCTCAAGCCCCAGTGGCAGAAAGCATCTGCTCCGCGGAAGTGTCCTTGACCGAGACACTGAATCCCCGCCAGTGGTTCTGCTTTGCACTTTATCCTGAGCTCCTTATGCAGGAAGCAAGTTTGAAAGAAGAAACGTTCCCCTTTTGAAAAAAACAGAATGAAATAGAAATCTGAGAAGTTTTACTTGGTTTCTGTAAAATCACTGTAACAGTTAGCGAGGGTAATTCCATTACATCTTTTCTGCTTGTTTAATAAAATCCATCTCCGTGTATCTTCCCTCTCTCCAGGAGGTCCAACGCTCCACAGCAGACCTGAAAATCACTGCAGAACACTCGAATCATCCCGACAACAAACACAAAAACAGATACATCAACATTGTGGCCTGTGAGTCAGCTGTAAAATCTGATTATGATGTCGACTGCTGCACAATCCAATAATCTGTTTATAACATGTTGTCATTCTTTTAGTAATCCAAAAATAATATATATCAATTCTCTCCGTAGATGACCACAGCAGGGTGAAATTACGAGCTCTGGCGGGGAAAGATGCCAAACATTCGGATTACATCAATGCCAACTACGTGGATGTGAGTGACTAGTTTTCCTCATGAAGCTCCTAGTTTGGTTTTATTTTTTGTGTTAAAAAGATTGTGAAATTCATCTGCATGGTTCTGTCATGTGGCATGTGGCATGTGCTAAACGGGGATAAATGCTGACTCCTTTTTTAAAAATATTGATTCGGGTAACAAAATCATATCAGCGACAGACAGAGCAATACAAATGGTGTATCTATTTGAAGAATATTGATTAATGTATGAACATTTACAATTTCTGTCAGCTGAAGGAGTAGATTTCATGACCTACCTGTGTCAGTAAACCAGTCCTATCAGCGATATCGGTGGTTGTGGGTAATTCGTAGAATATTGATTGCATCTTACCAGTAAACGTATCCCACCACTCTCCTGTTTCAGGGCTACAACCGGCCCAGAGCTTATATAGCTGCTCAGGGTCCTCTCAAGTCTACATTCGAGGACTTTTGGAGGATGGTGTGGGAGCAGAACACAGGAATCATTGTCATGATCACAAACCTGGTGGAGAAAGGGAGAGTAGGTTCATTTTTCATGTTATTTGCAGAAGTAAAAAATACAAAACAAATCCCTCACTGTATTTGGTACATCATTCATTGTGTCTGTTGTGTCCTTCAGAGGAAATGTGACCAGTATTGGCCAACAGAGAACAGCGAGCAGTACGGAAACATTGTGGTGATGCCGAAAAGCACCAAAGTGCACGCCTGCTACACACTGCGGCGTTTCCTTATAAGGAACACTAAAGTAAAAAAGGTAACTAAAAGTCAGACTCTGTTTTGTTTGAACTAGATTTCACTTATTTTATCAGGTTGCATCAGATATTCGTTACCAGGTTTGTGTGTGAAGTCCTTCTCTGATTTACTGAGTTGCACCATTAAAATGTATGAATGTCCCAGCTAGTAAAGACTTCAGTCATTTGTAAATAGTTTGCTAGAAAACATCAGTGATACTATCCAATCAAAAGCAATCAACTAAGTAAACAGGAAGTCTCTGTTGTATGACAGGGCGCAGCATTTCTGTGGTATGTAAACACAGTTATAACTAAGCTAAGTCAGTATATAAAACAGCTAATGCTGGGAACATGGTAATACCTTCCATGTACAGTAAATGAATAGTCTGCATTGTACGCTCACCGTGGTCACACATCTGCTCTCATGTTCCAGGGTCAGAAGGGGAACCCAAAAGGGAAGCTAAATGAGCGCATCATTGTCCAGTATCACTACACGCAGTGGCCTGACATGGGAGTACCAGAGTACACCCTCCCCGTCCTCACCTTTATCAACCGCTCATCAGCGGCTCGCGCTGCAGACATGGGCCCTGTCCTGGTGCACTGCAGGTACGGTGCTCACCGTGTTACCCAGCTCCTGTGCTAAATGAATGTTACTTATGAAGAGTCTCAAATGTGCTGACTTCGTTAACAGCTCCCTCTATGGGCATGCCATTATGCTCATATTGCTTTATGCTCTGCTCCTCAGTGCAGGGGTTGGGCGCACAGGAACATACATTGTCATTGACAGCATGCTACAACAGATCAAGGACAAAAGCACAGTCAGCGTCCTGGATTTTCTCAAACATATCCGCACACAACGCAACTACCTAGTTCAGACTGAGGTAAGAACCCCTAAATCATCCCTTATTTTGTGAAACTGGATTCCTTCTTTTACATTAGAAAGGTCACTTGTGATTAAAGAGAGTTATGAAAGCTGTTCAGTTTGATACTGTAGGCTTAAGTTTAGCCTTCCAACTTCCAAACTGTTGTTAATTCTAATCCAATAGTTTAGTTTAGTTACTTCAAATTATGAATACAAAATATAATCAACTACTGAGTCATTATTATAGATTAAACTTAACAGTATATAAAGTAATGACAATGAAGAAGGCAGAGTGACTCTGCCCTGTGACAAACTACTGGAAATAAATCAAAATGACCTACAATAAAATGCTGGATGAAATAAAATAATATAATAGCATGTTGAGTTTTAAAAATCTATTGTTTTTTTTCACAGGGTTATATATAGATTTAGTTTTTGTTATTATCTTGTCACAAAGATACATGTATGTATTTCAAACACTTTTCCGTCTCAATGTCCTCGGTCTCCTCTCAGGAACAGTATGTTTTCATCCACGATGCTCTGATGGAGACCATCATGAGTAAAGACACAGAGGTGCCCGCCTGGCAGCTGCATAGTTATGTCAACAGCATCCTCACGCCCAACTCGACAGGCCGCACACTGCTGGAGAAGCAGTTCAGGGTGAGTAGATCTCCTGGGAGTGTCACTGGTACGTTTAGACGAGCTGTCACCATCTGCAGCGGCACCACCGCCAGCTGAAATCAAGGCTGTCTCTGGATCAGAAGCTTGTTAGCAACGGTGCACGGTGGCTTTCCAGTTTGGGACGGGAATAGATTGAAAGCGTCTCTGATGTTGACTGTATTAAAGTCATGTCTGTCACCCTGCTGCCTAATGCAAAGCTTGATGAATCATCAGGAGAGGAAAAATAATTGCTCGCACATAATTTCACTTCCTGCCGATCCTCTCATGCTTATTGTGAAAAAGACTAAATCCTGGCTGTTAAACGACATTGTATCTTATGATTTTAATGTCCAGTGACTCAGGACTGTGATGATCTGGTCTTTGCTTTCTGTCTCACCAGCTGTTGACTCAGTGCAACGCACGCTTTGTGGAGTGCTTTAGTGCCCACAAAGACTGCAACAAGGAGAAGAACCGCAATTCCTCAGTGGTTCCCTGTGAGTATCTTATCTCTTACCACGGCGCAGTGGCTGTGGAGCTGAGGATTTGGAGAACCGAGGTCATGTTGAACATGTTAAGCCGCTGGAGTTTGCATTCATTGGTTGTAATGAGTTTACATAGAAAGCTATTGGGGCTGCTGTCCTGAAAATAGTCATACAAAATAGTCACACTAAATTGATAATAATAAATAAAATGCGGACACCATTAAAAGCATGTCTACAAATAATCTTGTCTGTGTTTGCTACTTTTCTTTCATTTTATAAATGGAAGAAAATAAGACTTAGCGTTTCCTAATGTCGTATTTTCACATCTTCCCGTTTTTGAGTCTGTAAATTATTAAAGACAATTCTTGTTCCGAAATTAGAATCTATTTCCATAAGCCTATAAGTTTATCTTTCTTTGGCTTCTCTGCGCCCTGGCAGGGAAAGGGACTTACTTGTTGCTATAGCAACAGCGAGGACTAGTAATGAATGTCTGCATTATCAGCCGGTGCGATACAATAGAAGCCCAGGTTTATGATTTAAAGTGTTTTTTTTCTATCTCTCTGCCTCTTTTCAGCGGAGCGAGCAAGGGTCGGACTCACCACTCTGCCTGGAATGAAAGGAACAGATTACATTAATGCGTCCTACGTAATGGTACGGTGTGATAGTCCAGCTTCATCATCCTTGCTCACTTTTTTCTTTCTTTTTTTTTTTATTGAAGAACTTTATTCTCAGGTCTTACAAATATTGATGAAAATTTCATAGAAAACGATCAGTTAAAGTCTGTCAGCTTTTACAGTCATCCATCGGTATGAAGGCTCCGAGCTTTAGAAATGCTAACAGCTCACATCTGTCACCTCAGGGTTACTTCAGGAGTAATGAGTTCATCGTTACCCAGCATCCTTTGCCCCACACCACCACAGACTTCTGGAGGATGATTTGGGACCATAACGCTCAGATTATTGTCATGTTGCCTGACAACCAGGGCCTGGTAAGTTACCCTGAAACATGACAATGGACTTGTGTTCTTTATTTTTTTGTTTTATTTGCCCATTAGATCTAGAATAACTAATTAAGGGCAAAACTGTAATGTAGTTTACAAACAGACGAAAAGCATGATGACAGCTAAACCAGTGAAACAAAGAATTAGCTATAGAGTTGATGAACCTGCAACAGACTTTGTTTGACTCGTCTTTCTTTCGTTGCAGGCGGAGGATGAATTTGTCTACTGGCCGAGTCGGGAGGAGGCCATGAACTGCATCGCCTTCACTGTCACACTCATCAGTAAGGACAGACTGTGCCTCTCCAATGAGGAGCAGATCATCATCCACGACTTCATCCTCGAGGCCACACAGGTACCTGGAGCTCTCCTTCGTCTCATGGCCGTACTTAGTCAGGTGTTCTCGGCCATTCCTGGTGTTTTTCATTGCAATGTCATGTCATGTGTGTATGAGTGACACTCCGACTCCTCTGTGTCACAGGACGACTACGTTCTGGAGGTGAGACATTTTCAGTGCCCTAAATGGCCCAACCCCGATGCTCCTCTAAGCAGCACCTTTGAGCTCATCAGTGTCATCAAGGAGGAGGCCATGACTCGAGATGGCCCCACCATCGTGCATGATGAGTAAGTTTGTGTTCATCTCGACGCTGGTATTGTTTTCACCTTGTGAGTCTAGGTGTTGTCTATTGGCCTCCATTGGGCTCCCCACTTTACGGCCCTGGTCACATTTGGTATGTTCTCATGGCTAGGTGGTGTAGTGTTTGCACTAGTAGGATGGAAAACAAGCCACTCAATGTGGAGTGCTCTCCATTGCATGAGGTTTGAGAGTCCTCTGGTGTATGCCAGCACTGACAATCTACAGGCATCTACCGAGATAACCAAAAGTACCAATCTGACGTCTCTTAGAAACCAGGCTGTTCTCAGCTGATGTGTTTCCTGCAGACCTCTGTGCCTTCAGCACATCAGCTGCTGTTAGTGAAAACATCAGCTAATGGAATAGTCTCCGACACTGAAGGCCCCCCGATAATCAATCACACTTCATCCCTGACTTCTCCCCACCTACTTACACCAGATGCTAATGTGATGGGAAGCTAATTGCTAACAATCTGCGTGGAAGTGTCTGCTTACCTCAGACATTTTATCCTCTTCATACACCGTGGTGTATCTTATCGACAATTACTTGTTTGTTACAGAAGATATTATTACTTCAGTCTGCAGTTAGTTAATGATGAGGGGATCTAAACACTAAAACTACACACAAGAAAGCAGAGTCAAACTAAGGATTTAGTAGGTGTGATGTATTGTTTAGGAACACCTGAACAGGAATACCGTTTAGTCCACAGAGCTGATTTTGAACATTTGCACACAGGTATGGAGCTGTGTCAGCAGGCATGCTCTGCGCTCTCACCACACTGTCCCAGCAGCTGGAGAACGAAGGGGTGGTCGACATCTATCAGGTGGCGAAGATGATCAATCTCATGAGGCCGGGAGTCTTCACTGATATCGTAAGTTCAAGTTCATCAGATGATAATATATCAATTTTGTGTTTAAAGCCTGCTCTGCTGCCCCCAAGTGGCCATCAAATGGAATTAATACCGCTTTAAGCAACATTTAAGGCTGCATTGGTCAATTTCTCGTCACCAGCAGGCAGAAAAAAACACAGCACAGCAACCACCAGCACTAGCTTCTGTTTTTATTGCTGACATGTTAGCAAACAAGCCCACCAGTTTTTCGTTTCATCAAGATTTGACTAAACTCTCTGGAGCTTTAGCTGCGAAATGCTCCACTATGTTCACCGGGCACTTGGTAACTTTCTCTTCTTCCATTCAGTGCCGGGTAGGTAGTAGTAGTTTTTCCGACAGTTGTCTAACGGAGGTCAGTGAGTTTGGTTCACACCAAACCATAAGGTAATGTGGATGTAAAACCAAAACAATGAGCTAAAAGAGACCCAAAGGTTCCAGAGAGGTGCAGAGTTGGGTTCATCACCACTAGTGGCACCTTTCACATCACGTCATTTTAGTCAATGTTTGCATCAACAATGTTGATTAACGCAGATTTGAAAGAAATGTCCGGATTCTGTAACAGGATGTGATCTGTAATGTTAACCTATGGTGTGTTTGTGTTCTTGTGCACAGGAACAGTACCAGTACCTTTACAAAGCCATGCTCAGCCTGGTCAGTAACAGAGAGTTTTGCCTGAGCCCCCTGCACATGGACACTAATGGGGTGGTGGTGTTTGCAGACGAGTCGGACCCCGCCGAGAGCATGGAGTCGCTCGTCTGAGAAAGTTCTCACAGGCACTTGATTTGTAAAAACCCGAGAACTTTTCCGAGGCCTTTTTTGCCAGACTATTGATTAAATGAATAACCTTATTACTTTTTATACTGATAAAAGTTTTTGATATTTATGTTTTTGTCCTTTATTTCTCGTTTTAAATGTTATCCTGCTGAGCGTTTGCACCCGTTTTAAGTTGACGTGAGGAAAAAGCAGCTCTGTCCAGTTTGCACTATACTATCAGTGTTACTGCCTGTATCCAGTGAGTGAAGACGTTTCACAGTTAAATGTTGGCATCACGACACAACCGAGATCTTTGGACCGCATTGAGACAAACCTGAAGCATGAAGACCAGGATAAGTTAAAGCGATCCACTAACAGTCATTTCTCAAAACAAAAAGCATCACATTACAACGTAGCCCAGCACGCATTTTGTCACTTTGTCACCTCAATAAAACAAACAGTTTTGAGGCTCCGCTCCACTTGGTTGAAGCTCTTTATCACATGCGAAGAGACTTTTTACCTGCTTAATATTCATATATTGTCCAAATATTTCACTGCTGTCTTGTACAATGTACTTATTTTGTTAAAGTGTGTTACAACATCTAATGTGAACATGAATTTCTTTTTACAGGGATTCATATTGTTGCATTGTTTTGTAATATATATCTCCTGAATAGCCAACCAATGTTTTTTTTCTTTTAGTGCTCTTGCCTTTTTGTCCGATAGCAGGGCGGAGGTTCATGTTTTATGAGATTGTCATGATGATTTCCAGCTTCTTAAACCTCAACTGTCAAAGCTCAACTGTTAACATGTGTAGTGGGTATCCGTAATGACACAGTACAATGTCTACATAAAGTATTCACCCTAAACAAACTTCCATGTTTTATAGTTTCACAACATTAAATCGCAGTGGATGAAGTTATGATTTCTTTTTTTGTTGCCAATCAATAGAACATCCAGAAATCTATTTCAATTCATTACAAATAGAAAAAACCCCAAAGTTGATTAATTGGTAGTATTTACAGTGACTCTATGTAAACAGCTTTGTACATCTTGACATCCTTTCAAACTCAGTTTAAGGACTGAGAGTGAACAGCAAAGTTTCATGTCCTGTCACTTGTTCTGGACCTAGCTGAGGTCTTAGACTCAGACTAGATCTCTCCGTGACATTATCATTGTTTTTTAAAGACATTCCTTTGTAGCTGTGGCTTCATATTTGGGGTCGTTGGTTTGATGAAAAATTAAATCTCGCACTTCTCTCACACAGAGAACCGGGAGTTTCCTCCAAGATTACTTAACATTGTACTGCCTGTTGCAGAGAAGCGTCCTCGCCAGGCCTCATGATGAGGACGCTGTGTTTCTGCGGATGGGCCGTGTTTGGCTTCCACTCAGTTAGTGGGACCTCTCTACGGTCTCACTTGTTGCCCTTCCTCTCAACACACTGAGATTTTGAGGCAGATTTTAAGAAGTGTGCCGTACTCCTTCAATTTGTACAATGGTATTGGGGATATCCAGTGCCTTGGAAACGTTCTTATGTCCTTTCCCAGTTTAGTACTCTTCAGTAAACTCAATTTGTTCGTTTTCATTTTGTGTTTTTTTGCTGGTAACTTCACTTTATAGCTGCTGGATCCAGGTATAGTTTACCTGAGATAACTCACTTGATTTCACACAGGGGATCTCCATTCAACTTGTTTTTTTTTTTTTATAAGTCTTACTTAGTTTGCAGCTTTTTGTTTTGATCAGTGTAGAATAAAATCCTAATTACATCCACTGTGACTCAAAGTTAGAAATAAATAAAACATCAAAAGATCAAAAGGAGGTGAATACTTTCGAATAGGCACTGTAGTTTCTTGTTGGTGGGGGGGGGGGGGGGGGGGGGGGGGGGGGTGATGCTTTATTTGTAACCAAAGATGTGGTTCTAGTTTGCGACATGTAAGTGGTTTTGTCTTGAGATCTATTTAATCAACTAGAATTTAAAATCAAAATGTTTAACTCTTCCAGTGCAGATTACTGGTGTCAGAGGTGTGAACTGAACAAGACTGAAGCACGTTTCTGTTCCTGCCTCAGGAACTCACCTCGCAGTAAATAACCAGAGTACATGATTTTAGATTCAGACTGTAAAATATATTTTATTTGGGCTGATATTCTGTCTCGGCACCATTTTGTGACTATTAATTACAAGCCCTTTTCAACCCTGAGCATCCCTTTCTCTTGACTGATGTATGTGTATCCTTATACTCCTTTGTACTCTCTGGTTAAAAAAAATAATAATTCTGTGAACACCCACTTCTCTGACAAAGGGGAGTTTGCTAAATTCAGTGAAACCTCTCCAACATTTGGAGACAAAAGTCCAGATTGCTGATCACTTAGCTCTGCAACAAAAGAGTTTTTCTTTTGTATGGATTCCAACGTCCTTTCTGTTTGATATTTCTATGCTCGTGGAGTACTGTGGTTGCACATGATTGCTTGAAAAAACAATTATCTTCGACTGTAATGTAATCTTTGTGATCATAGAAGTTTATATTTTCATACAAAGGTTTGGTTTGTATAGTGGCCCTGTAAAAAGATTGTACTTTTTGGGAAATTTACTATCCTCACAGCAAAATCCCCACAGTCACACCTGCCCCTCCGAGGTCCATGCTGATATTTAAATCAGATATTTCCTGACATTTACTCAATGGTCCAGGGGTCCAGTGTGTTCGCCTCAGTGCATATCTGCCAGGTTGGTAGTGAAGTCTATTTTGTAACTTAAATAAAAAATAAAATGGTTTTGTCCATTGTATCACATGTTTATATGATACTATCATAGCCATATATTTCTATGATGCTGTCATATACCATATTATAGTGTAATAGTGTTATTTAATAGGTAAATTGTATTGCTATTCATGAAATAAAGTTTGGGTTTGGGTGCACAGCATCCGTGTATTACATGGATCTACTGATGGGGGAGTTTTTACTTAAACTGATGAAAAGCAAAAATGCGACCTGTTCATCCTGTCGTCCCGTCCGTCACCAAACAACCGTCATGGAAGAAGTATTAAAGTCTTGCATAGAACATTTTAACTTGGGGGATAAAAGTACAGCATCAGCAACAAAATGCACTTATGTACTTTAAGTATTTTTGAAGAGTTTATGCGGTTGGCTTGTGTAATCCAGGGGCTGAATTTAGATTTAAAGGGGGGGGGGTGATGATGGTTGGAACAAAAATATTTCATACAGCAAGAGGGATGAAATTGACCCTATAGGTGAAAAAGTGCAGAATAAAAGCAGACTTTTAAATACGTTTTCATCGGTAGAAATGTCACACGGACATCTTTTTAAAAGAAATGTACTTTCACTCGAGGTAATGTTGGCAAAGTTAAGGCAAGCAAATTGATTAAGAAACTTTATAGAAAAATCATGAAGGTGGTGCAGTAAAGCCACATGCGTAAACTAAAGAGTAAAAGGCCTTTTTATGTTAATATATAAATAAGTGTGCAAAAATAAACTTTTATAAGTAGTATATATTTGGCAATGTATCAAAAAAGATGTTTTAACTCAACATTTCAAATCTGTATCTCTTTCAATATTAAAAACTAAACACTCCAATCTCCACTATAAAAGATACTATTGCCACTTTGAAATATTCTATACAGATTCATACATATTGGACTATGACATGTCATGGCATTTTGTATGATGTACTGTACTTTTATGTATTTTTTTATGACATATTTTTCATTACATAAAATACAATGACATTTTCTTACGCACTATAGTAATTATTCATGGAGCGGGGGTAGCAGGTGTATGAAGGTGTTCCAGACGCCCCTCTCCCCAGCAACGGAGAGAATATACAAAAAAATATGACATTAAAATATGAAATATTTTGATAATTTATTACGACATTCCATTTTTTATAACAAACTATACTATGAAATTATGACATTTTAATTTATATGACATACTATACTATGTTTTTAATGATTTCATGATTTACATTATTATTTAATAATGTCATACTATAATATTAAATATGTTATGACATTCTACACTAATATTCTTTATGGCATACTATAAATTATTAGATTTTTTAATGTTTTAATTCGCGATGCTATGCTGTGGCCTTTTTTACATTTTTATGGCACACTATACTGTGACATTATTATATAATGTATACTTTTTATGTTAACTATTATATGAAATGATTGTGATAATATTATTCGACAATAGGATGACATTTTCTATGACGTACTATACTATAACCCTTTTTTCAGGAATACTATACTATGGCCTTTTAATGACTTTTTTAAACATGATATACAAAGCATTGTAAATGAGTTTTTTAGACATCCTATTCTGTGACATTTTGTCAACATGATATTCTGTGGCTTTTTTATGACTTTTTTTCAACCTACTTGAAGGTGACTATTTTTATCACTTTTTTAGACATTCTTTATCATGAATTTGGGGGCTTACCGTGCTGTAGTGGCTAGCAATGTCGCCTCACAGAAAGATCGGACGAGGTTTGATCCCAGAGTGGCCCATTCTGTGTAGAGTTTGCATGTTCTCTTCATGTCAGAAGGTTCTCTTTCTTACTCCCACAGTCATAGAGACATTCAGCTTACTCAGCTCTAAAATGTAATGTGACTTTGCATGGTTGTCTGTCTCTATATCAGCCCTGCGATAGTCTATCGACTTGTCCAGGGGGTACCGTGCCTTAGGATCAACTCCAGTCCCCCCACTACCCTCACTGGGATAAGCAGTTATACGGATAAAGTATGAATTACTTTTTTAGACATACTAATACTATGATTACTTTTCTACATACTACACAATGACTTTTTTCAACATGATATACAAAGGCTCTTTTTTTGACATACTATGCTATTGCCTTTTTTCATGTTTTTAAACATATTATACTCTGACTTTTTCTGGCATGCTACAGACTTTTTCAAAAATGCTATACCGTCATGTTTTATGACTTTCTTTCGACATAATATACTTTTTACGATTATATATACATAATATATCATGACATGTAATAGTGTGATATATTTAATGACAGTTTTATGGTATACTTTCTTTATAATATTCAAATGGTTTATATATTTTGTTTATTTATTTTTATGATATCTTAATTGACTATATTTATGGCATAATATAATTTAGTATGACTGTTTTATGGCAAACTACCCTGAGAATTCTTCAATATTTATTTTATTACATTTCTATTACTTTTTTACGGCATAATACATTTTTTTTACGTCAGACTATACTATGACATGGTTTATGACATTTTACGACATACAATACTGTGACTTTTTTTTGACATGCATTTTTTTATACCATTGTATGCACACTGACATTTTCATGAGTTTTTATGACATATTATACTATGACATTGTAATTAGCCTTTGTAGAAACTATTTAAATCACCGAGTAAACAGCCAATTCTGCTAACATGAACAGTGTTTAAGCAATGGTAAATATATCAACAGAAATATGTATGATGTCGGAACAATAACTTACATTATCACACAGCAAGGGAAACGAGCGACAGACACTATCAGCACACATTTGACATTTAACTGCTAGTAGCTTTGTTATTATAAACATTTTTCTAAAACTTTGCAATATGACACTAATTGTGAGTATCGTGTTTATTATCGCTAATTATGCTTTTCTTTGTCAAAATAATCTTTCATTTCTGCCAAGAATCATTCGGGTGAATTTGACCTTTGGGTAATTGTATGTTTTCGCTCCAAACAGCGACGGACGCAGCGACCGTGTGTTTGTTTGTGCGGCCGCTCAGCCTCTGACTGACCTCATCATTCACAAGAAACTCCAGTTCTTTCCGTTTTTTTCTTCCATCTACTCCTTTTAAACTTGTCCTCCATACGTCTGTAACTAACAAGCAGTTCCATGAAGGACAGGGGCAGCTGTTCCTGCTGAGTTACAGAGACAATAAACGATTTCCCAAAAAATAAAACTGAATAACAATCTTGAATAACAATTCAAGAATAGCATTCTCTAAGGCTAACTAAGCAGCCGATTATTCAGTTTGTCACAGTGAATCTAAAAATATCATGTCTGTGTGTTCAAACTTGACAAAATTGGCTCAAAGAGGAAGTAGCCTGAGTAAATGTTCTGAGCTAGTTTCCACCACCGCCAAAGCAACACTTAGACTGTTCAGTGTGTCTATAATTGTGTCTCAGGTGGACATGCAGCTGGTAAACATGACAGCAGATGCACATGTACAGTAATTTTTATTTAGAGGCAACAGCTCTTGCATATTACAACTGTTGGCTTTCATAAGGCAAAAGCAAGAATGAATCCACCAGCTAATTCACACAGAAAACAGAAAGCGTTTAGGGAGGGTGGGAACCCACAGGCATGCAGCGATGGCTCAGAATGCAATGTACAGCATTTCATATTTATATATATATTTATATAATATATACAAAACAACAGTGAGACCCAAACAAATGCCAGACATCTCATTCTACACAATTACAGAACAAAGACAGACCAACTTTTTTTTTTTTTTTTAATAAAAAAAAAATATTTTTGCTCTTTTCTCTGTAAAAGTGCAACTCAATTAAAATAGAACCTGTTTCAAGGCCTTTTAATGTTGAAATAAAAATAGAATCTCCCAAGTTATCAAAATGGACCTATGAGAATATTGCATCTCTAGAATACCAACTCGTTGAAGTTCATGAGTCCTGTTGAACCATGTCTAATTAGTAATTGAGATAAGATCACACAGCATTGACACATGATAAAAATGCAGGTCTGGACTTACTGTTGATGTCAATAACAGTGAGTAGACAACAATGTATCTGTAACAGCCGTAAACAAATACAGAGGCTTATTTTCAGTTTGAAGCAGTTGGCATTCACTTAAAAACAGACAAGACAAAGAAAAGGGTCCACACACACACTCATCATCACGACAATGTACCATCAATGAATGTAGAATACGACAAAGAAGCGCCATATAGGTTTGCATTGGACAGGGACACACCTATTAATCTCACTCAACATTGTCAAACAAATGGTTCTCCATATTGCTTAGTAACACATAGAAATGAATTTAGAAATGAATGAATCAAAGATAGGTGCTATCTTTATCATGACAGCTAAACTGCCAATCATGGATATTTTTTTAACATTTTTATGTAGATTTTCCTCAGTATAAGTACTATTTTTATAGTTAATAGTTCCTTCATAGGCATTTCGAGCTGACAAAGAGGTCCTAGAGTGGCTATCTGAGTTGGTACATGCATCGGTAACCAGGCTAAAGTCAAAAGTGTGAAAGGGGGTCGGGGTGAAGGGGTTCAGGGGCGAGGGTTGGAGTGTCAGTGTACGGGCTCTAGTCGTCGTCTTCGTCCTCCTCATCGCTGTCCTTCATGGAGATGCCCTGCATGCCTCCTTCCCTCACTGAAGCAGTGGCCTCCTCGATGGTCAGCCTGTTGCGCACCGTGTCATACATCTTACTGTTCAGGGTGGAGTCTAGGACACCCTGCAGGCGAAAGTCCCGGTACTTTTTCTAAAGCAGGACAGAGATACATTAGCACAGCATGGACATAAGGGATTGTGGGTGATTTGCCAACCTGACGGCTGTTTTCAGCCTTACCTTTGTAATCCTGATGAGGATTTTTAGCTGGTAGACGTGGAGCTGCTGTTCCATGCGTTCAGTGAGCCAGGTCCCCAGCAGGTTCATGGTGGCAGTGTACCATTGCTGAAACACATAAACACAACACTCTCCAGCAAAACACACACTCCACACACATACTCAAGGAATCATGACACAAAACTAGCCTTTACGACAGACATAAAGAACTACAGCTAAACACTTACAGTATATGAGAATAACGTTCAAGCACCCTCTGCGTATTCAGGCATCACTTAAAATAAAACCTGCTAGCAGCTT